CATCCTCCCACCTCCACCTTTCAAAGTGCTGGGATTATAAGCGTGAGCTACCATGCCTGACCCCAATTCTTAAGTCTTCCAGACTATATCAAATGTTGCTAATAAATCTATATCCAGTAAATCCATGTTGGAGGGTCTTCCACAATGGAAATAATAAATTGAATGCCTTAAAAGATTTGACCTCAACTCAAACGTCTAAAGTCATTCAGTGTTGAAATGACCAGGCAAGGTCAGGATGGATTGCAATGAAGAGTGGGTTGAACGCCTTATAAGGGCCCAGAGTGTGTCTCAACTCTTCAGCTAGCAACCTTGGGAGGCCGCTCATTCTCATTTGTCACAAAATCCCAGCGTGACAAACTATTTTTGCACTGCGCTTATCTTAGGAAGCTGTCAAAAGTGATGCATGCAATCTGTTAATGGGCTGGAAGTGTTCTAGCCATGGTTCCTAAAGGTAGAGGCAATCCTACCACGTGATGCAGCCAAGGAGACCTTCTCCAAGATCCAGACTCTGTACTAGTGAGGACTTCTTGGGCCTTAGGCCCAGTGACCAACCTCCAGCGGGCAGAAAGATTGAGTGGGCCTTTGAGACCCAAGTGACTGCATTGTCAGTCGTCTTAGGAAATTTCCCTCCCTTTATTTCATTATGTTCTTGCCTTTTAGAAAACAATTTTATTGAAATATAATTTATATGATAAAACTCATTCATTTAAAGTGTACAATTCAATAGTTTTTAGTATGTTCACAGAATTGTCCAACCATCACCACAATAATTTTGGAATATTTTTGTCATCCCCAAAAGAAATTTCACACATTTTGGCAGTCACTCCCCATTTCCATGCAACAAATTTCCCAGCCCTAGACAATCATTAATCTACTTTCTCTATCTATGAATTTGCCTGTTTTGGGTACCTCATATAAATGGAATCGTACAATGTGTGGTCTTTTGTGTCAGGCTTCTTTCACACAGCGTATGTTTTCGAGGTTCACCCATGTTGTAACATACATCACGTACTTTATTTTTATGACTTACTAATATTCCATCGTATGGACATACCATGTATTTATTGTATAGATTTTGGTTGTTTCTACTTTTGGATTAATTGTGAATAATGCTGCTGCAAACATCTGTGTACGAGTTTTTGTGTGGACATAATTTTTTTTTTTTTTTTTAAAGAGACGGAGTCTTGCTCTGTCACCCAGGCTGGAGTGCAGTGACACAATCTTGGCTCACTGTAACCTCCACCTCCCAGGTTCAAGCCAATTCTTTTCCCTCAGCTTCCCAAGTAGCTGGGACTACAGGCGCATGCCACCATGCCTGGCTAATTTTTTTTTTTTGTATTTTAGTAGAGGTGGGGTTTCACTGTGTTGCCCAGGCTGGTCTCGAACTCCCGAGCTCAGGTAATCTGCCTGCCTCAGCCTCCCAAAATGCTAGGATTACAGGCATGAGCCACCACGTCCGGCCGTGGACATAATTTTTTATCTTAGGTAGACAGGGATCTTCAAAAAGTTCATGGAAAATGTATATAAGGAAAAAACTGCATTGTTTAAAATTCCTTTGCACCAAAATAAACTCATATCATGTCTGAAACAGGATCTACTTTTTTTATCCACAGCTATCTACATTTATATCATCATCGTCCATTGTTCTTGTCTACAGGGTGAGCACAACATTTTACCCCCGTGCCTGACAGACAGGCCAACCTGAACAGAAGCCTTCCCAGGCACCAGAGCAGAAGGGAAAATTTGTACACAGTTGCGAAGAACTTCACACTATTCCATCCCCTCTACTGCCACAGGATCTACTTTTAGGTACTAAGAAAAGAAAAAAGACATCAGTTTGAAAAGTGCCCCCATCAGAGCAACATGAATTCTGCTAAAATTGAAGCAATAACAAACATCAACATTTTTTTTTTTTGAGGCGGTGCCTTGCTCTGTCATCCAGGCTTGAGTGCAGTGGTGCAATCATGGCTCACTACAACCTTCGCCTCCCAAGTTGAAGAGATTCTCCTGCCTCAGCCTCCCGAGTAGCTGGGATTACAGGCACTTGCCACCACGCCCAGCCAATTTTTTGTATTTTTAGTAGAGACAGGGTTTCACTAGGTTGGCAAGGCTGGTCTCGAACTCCTGACCTCAGGTGATCCACCTGTCTCGGCCACCCAAAGTGCTGGAATTACAGGTGTGAACCACCACACCCAGCCAAACATCAGATTTATGATGAAGCTTTGGTGGAGGAAGGTGAAATCACTGATGCTTTATGAAAAGTTTATGAGAAAAATGCCTCAAATAAATCAGCAGTATACAAATGGACAACTTATTTTAAGAAAGGGTAAGACAATGTTGAAGGTGAGGCCTGCAGCAGCAGATTATCTATATCAATTTTCGAGGAAAAAATTCACTTTGTGCCCCAACTGAAGAGAACTGGCAATTAACAGCCCAAACAATAGCCAACATCATAGACATCTAATTGGTTTGGCTTACACAATTCTGACTGAAAAAGTTCAGCAAATTTTCCCATGAATGGATGCTAAAAGTATTGCACCCAGATAGGCCAGGCGTGGTGGCCCATGCCTGTAATCCCAGCACTTTGGGAGACCAAGGCAGATGGATCACAAGGTCAGAGATTCAAGACCAACCTGGCCAATATGGTGAAACCCCGTCTCTACTAAAAACACAAAAATTAGCCGGCCGTAGTGGGGCTTGCCTGTAGTCCCAGCTACTCAGGAGGCTTAGGCAGAAGAATTGCTTGAACCCAGGGAGCAAAAGTTGCAGTGAGCCGAGATTATGCCACTGCACTCTAGCCTGGGCGACAAAGCAAGACTCCTTCTCAAAAAAAAAAAAAAAAAATATTGCACCCAGATCAGCTGCAGGCAAAAGCAGAGCTTGCTTTTATTTATTTATTTATTTAATAATTTTTTAGGCTAGGCATGGGGGCTCACTCCTGTAATCCCAGCACTTTGGGAGGCCGAGGCGGGCAGTTCACTTGAGGTCAGGAGTTCAAGACCAGCCTGGCCAACATGGTGAAACCCCATCTCTACTAAAAAAAATACACAATTAGCTGGGTGTGGTGGCACACACCTGTAATCCAGCTACTCAGGAGGCTGAGGCAGGAGAATCTCTTGAACCCAGAGGCAGAGGTTGCAGTGAGCCAAGATGGAGCCACTGCACTACAGCCTGGGCAACAAGAGTGAAACATTGTCTCAAATAATAATAACAACAAAACAATTTTTTAAAACTCACCACCTCAGCTTTATAAAGCAGAGCATTTATTTATTTATTTATTTATTTTAGGTGGAGTCTCGCTTTTGTCACCCAGGCTGGAGTGCAGTGGCACAATCTCGGCTCACTGCAACTCCGCCTCCCAGGTTCAAGCAATTCTCCTGCCTCAGCCTCCTGAGTGGCTGGGATTACAGGCGTGTGCCACCATGGGCGACGAATTTTTGTATTTTTAGTAGAGACGGAGTTTCACCATGTTGGTCAGGCTGGTCTTGAACTCCTGACCTCAGGTGATCTGCCCGCCTTGGCCTCCCAATCACTTGAAACTGGGAGGAGGAGGTTTCAGTGAGCCGAGATTGTGCCACTGCACTCCAGCCTGGGCAACAGAGTGAGACTGGCTCAAAAACAAACAAAAAGGCCAGGGAGAGCTTCACCAAGTACTTCCCCAACTCACAACAATGCTCGTGACGGTGTTTGTTTGTTTGTTTGTTTGTTTGAGACAGAGTCTCCTTTGTCGCCCAGGCTGGAGGGCAGTAGTGCGATCTCGGCTCACTGCAAGCTCCGCCTCCCGGGTTCACGCCATTCTCCTGCCTCAGCCTCCCGAGTAGCTGGGACTACAGGCGCCCGCCACCACGCCCGGCTAATTTTTTGTATTTTTAGTAGAGATCAGGTTTCACCGCATTAGCCAGTATGGTCTCTATCTCCTGACCTCGTGATCCACCCGCCTTGGCCTCCCAAAGTGCTGGGATTACAGGCGTGAGCCACCGCGCCCGGCCTCCTGACTTCTTATTTTGTAATCTGTAATCTTAAAAAAAAAATTTAAAGGGCACCCATTTTTCTTCAGTTAATAACACAAAAAAGACTGCATTGACATGGTTTAATTCCCAGGACCCTCGGCCCTTTAAGGATAGACTAAATGCATATCATAGCTTTACAAAAATGTCTTGCCCTTGATAGAGCTTATACTGAGAAATGAGGTTTATATTTTTTATCTTAATCTTTTGATTCCATTTTCCAGTAAGTTTTTAAAGTCCCCTCGTATACCTAGAAGCGAAATTACTGGGTCATATGGTAACTCTATGTTTAAATTCTTTTGTTGTGATAAAGTATATGTAACCTAAGACATGTCATTTTAAACATTTTTAAGTGTACAACTCAGTGGCATTACTTTCACAATGTTGTGCAACTGAAACGGGAAAAGTTCCTTTTCCCCCTCGCAGGGCGTGCGATGAGGGTGTGGCGCGCGGTGGGGGTGTGGCGCGCGGTGGGGGTGTGGCGCGCGGTGGGGGTGTGGCGCGCGGGGGGGTGTGGCGCGCGTGGGGGTGTGGCGCGCGTGGGGGTGTGGCGCGCGTGGGGGTGTGGCGCGCGGGGGGTGTGGGGCGCGGTGGGGTGTGGCGCGCGGGGGGGGTGTGGCGCGCGGTGGGGGTGTGGCGCGCGGTGGGGGTGTGGCGCGCGGTGGGGGTGTGGCGCGCGGTGGGGGTGTGGCGCGCGGTGGGGGTGTGGCGCGCGGTGGGGGTGTGGCGCGCGGTGGGGGTGTGGCGCGCGGTGGGGGTGTGGCGCGCGGTGGGGGTGTGGCGCGCGGTGGGGGTGTAGCTCGCTTAGGTGCCTGGCTGCTCAAACCTCTAGGGGAGCGTACAGACAGGCAGGCTGTGGGCCTCCAACCCCACGGCAGCACGTAGGGTTAGATGTTTACAGCTCCTGAAACCCCAGTGGGCGTGTGTTACAGGTTGCTCTTTTAGTTTTGCTGTCTATAGGCGGCTTGTGTTAACCAGCTCAATTAGACCCTCTACCTTGTCACAAGGACAGAGGGCTTTCTGTATCCCGGGTCCTTGCTCGGTGTACCGGAAGAATTGGATCACACCTGGGCTTAGAGAATGAGTGCAAGGTTTTATTAAGTGGAGATAGCTCTTGGCAGATGTTGGAAGCCAGAAGAGAGTGCAGTTGGAAGGTTTTCTCCTGCAGTCGGGCCACTGAGCAGCCCAGGACCCCCTTCGACGGTCCCAGCCAAACTCCGCGTCGTTCTGCTGGTCAGTGGCCTGCTGGCATGCCAGTGCCTGCTGATGTGCTCCTCTGGACGTCCAGCCGCCTGTGTGTTCCTCCACCGATGTGATCCTCTCCACGTCCGGCTACCTGTGTGTCTTCCTGCTAAGGTCTTGGGGTTTTTTATAGCACAGGATGGGGGCGTGGCAGGCCGGGTGGTCTTGGGAAATGCAACATTTGGGCAGGAAAACAAAAATGCCTGTCCTCACCTAAGTCTGGGGGGGTGGAGCCGTAGCCAGGGACCATGTCCTCACATCCTCCTCTACCCAGCACTTCCTTCCCTCCTTTCCATATTATTTATAGGGACCATGCTCTTCCCTTCCCAGCACTTCCTTTCGGTATCACAACTGTTACTGCAACCTATTTCTAAAATTTTTCATTACCCCAAACAGAAATTATATGACCATTAAGCAATAACTCACCATTCCTCTCCCTACACCACCCCAGCCGCTGGGAACCTCTAATCTACTTTCTGTCTTTATAAATTTGCCAGTCTAGATATTTTATATAAGTGGAATCATACAATATTTGTCATCTTATGTCTGGCTTATTTCACTTAGCATATTTCAAGGTTCACCCATGATGGAGCAGGTATCAAAATTTTACTCTTTTTTAAGGCTGAATAATACTTCATTGCATGTTTATCCGTTCGTCAGTTGATGGACATTTAAATTGTTTATGCCTTTTGGTTTTTGTGAATAATGCTGCAATGAACATTGGTGTACAAGTACGTGTTTGAGTTTCTGATTTTCAGTTCTTTTGGGTATATACCTAGGAGTGGAATTGCTAAGTCATATGGTGAGTCTGTGGTTAGCGTTTAGAGGAACCACCAAACTGTTTTCCACAACAGCCATACCACTTTACATTCCCACTAGCAATGTATGAAGGTGCCAATTTCTCCACATTTTTGTCGACACTTGTTATTATCTATTTTTTAATTACAGCCATCCTAGTGGATGAGAAGATTCTTTTATTTTTAGGCCACTTCTTTTCAGTTATGATTTTCTAGGAAATTATCCATTTCAGCAAAGTTTTCAGATTTATTGTCCATAAATTTGTACAGTAAACATTTCAGTGTTGTTGTTGTTGTTATTGTTCTTTTTTTTTTTTTTTTTTTGAGACGGAGTCTCGCTCTGTCATCCAGTCACCTAGGCTGGAATGCAGTGGTGTGATCTCAGCTCACCGTAACCTCCACCTTCTGGGTTCAAGCAGTTCCCTGTCTCAGCCTCCCGAGTAACTGGGATTATAGGCGCCTGCCACCACCCCAGCTAATTTTTGTATTTTTTTTTTAAGTAGAGATGGGGTTTCACCATGTTGGGTCAGGCTGGTCTTGAACTCCTGACCTCGTGATCCACCTGCCTCAGTCTCCCAAATTGGTGGGGTTACAGGTGTGAGCCACCATGCCCAGCCTTCAGCGTTCTTCTAAAAGGCAGTAAACGGCCAGGCACAGTGGCTCATGCCCATAATCCCAGCACTTTGGAAGGCCAAGGCAGGTGGATTATCTGAGGTCAGGAGTTCAAGACCAGCCTAGCTAACATGGTGAAACCTCATCTCCGTTAAAAATACAAAAATTAGGCCGGGCGCGGTGGCTCAAGCCTGTAATCCCAGCACTTTGGGAGGCCGAGACAGGTGGATCACGAGGTCAGGAGATCGAGACCATCCTGGTGAACACCGTGAAACCCCGTCTCTACTAAAAAATACAAAAAACTAGCCGGGCGAGGTGGCGGGCGCCTGTAGTCCCAGCTACTCGGGAGGCTGAGGCAGGAGAATGGCGTAAACCTGGGAGGCGGAGCTTGCAGTGAGCTGAGATCCGGCCACTGCACTCCAGCCCGGGCTACAGAGCGAGACTCCGTCTCAAAAAAAAAAAAAATACAAAAATTAGCTTGACAGGTCGGGCGCGGTGGCTCACACCTGTAATCCCAGCACTTTGGGAGGCCGAGGCAGGCGAATCACAAGGTCAGGAGATCGAGACCACGGTGAAACCCTGTCTCTACTGAAAATACAAAAAATGAGCCGGGCGAGGTGGCGGGCGCCTGTAGTCCCAGCTACTCGGGAGGCTGGGGCAGGAGAATGGCCTGAACCCAGGAGGCGGAGCTTGCAGTGAGCCAGGATCGCACCACTGCACTCCAGCTTGGGCGACAGAGCAAGACTCCGTCTCAAAAAAAAAAAAAAAAAAAAAAAATTAGCTCGACATGGTGGCACGCACCTGTGATCCCAGCTACTCAGGAGGCTGAAACAGGAGAATCATTTGAACCCGGAGGCACAGGTTGCAGTGAGCTGAGATCGCTCCACTGCACTCCAGCCTGGATGACAAAGCAAGACTCTCAAAAATAAAAAATAAATTTAAAAAGGGGAGTGGAGATAGCTCTTGGCAGATGTTGGAAGCCAGAAGAGAGTGGAGTAGGAAGGTTTTCCCCTGGAGTCGGGCCATTGAGCAGCCCGGGACCCCCTTCGACGTGCATGCCTTTTTTGTGATCTGTTGTGAAGCTTGTCAATTTTATTAGACTCAAAGAACCAAGTTTCTTTGTTGTTGTTGTTGTTGGATGATCCTCTTTGTTGTAATATTTTCTTATTTTACTCAAATTTCTACCTTTTCAGGCCAGGTGCGGTGGTTCATGCCTGAAATCCCAGCATGTCAGGAAGTTGAGGCAGGCAAATCGCTTGAGCCCAGGAGTTCATGGCGAGACCCCTCTCTACAAAAAAATACAAAAATTAGCTGGGTGTGATGGTGTGTGCCTGTAGTCCCAGCTACTCGAGAGACTAGGACAGGAGGATCACTTGAGCCCATGAGGTTGAGGCTTCAGTGAGCTGCGATCACACTACCACATTCTACTCTGGGCAACAGAGCAAGATGCTGTCTCAAAAAACAAACGAATTTCGACCTTGTATTTTGTCTTTTATTTTACTTACTTTTTGTCTGTTCTTTTTCTCACACCTTTTTCTTTTCATTTATTTTTATTTTTATTTTTTGAGATGGAATCTTGCTCCATCACCCAGGCTGCAGTGAGTAGCATGATCTCAGTTCACTGCAACCTCTGCCTTCCAGGTTCAAACGATTATCCTGCCTCAGACTCCCGAGTAGCTGTGACTACAGGCATACGCCAACATGCCCAGTTAATTTTTGTATTTTTAGTAGAGATGGGGTTTCACCATATTGGCCAGGCCAGTCTCAAACTCCTGACCTCAGGTGATCTGCCTGCCTCAGCCTCCCAAAGTGCTGGGATTACAGGCATGAGCCGCTGCACCCGGCCTCACATCTTGAGTTAGAAACTTCATTCGCTAATCTTCAACTACCTTTTCCAATACAAGCATTTGTCTTTTAATATATTTCCATTATCATTCTAAGTATATTATAATTTCTTTCTTTCTTTGTTTTTTTTTTTTTTTTTTTTTGGAGATGGACTCTCGCTCTGTTACCCAGGCTGGAGTGCAGTGGTGTGATCTCGGCTCACTGCAACCTCCGCCTCCTGAGTTCAATTAATTCTCCTGCCTCAGCCTCTGTAGTAGCTGGGATTACAGGCATCAGCCACCAGGCCCCAACTAATTTTTGTATTTTTAATAGAGATGGGGTTTTGCCATGTTGGTCAGGCTGGTCTCGAATTCCTGACCTCAAGTGATCCACCCTTCTCAGCCTCCCAAAGTGCTGGGATTACAGGCGTGAGCCACCACACCTGACCTATTATAATTTCTTTCTTTTCCTTCTTTTTTTTTTTTTTTTTTTTTGAGACCAAGTCTTGCTCTTGTTGCCCAGACTGGAGTGCAATGGCACAATCTTGGCTCACTGCAACCTCCACCTCCGCCTCCCGGGTTGAAGCAATTCTCCTGCTTTAGCCTCCCAAGTAGCTGGGATTACAGGCACCTGCTACCACGCCCAGCCAACCTTTTGTATTTTCAGTAGAGACAGGGTTTCACTATGTTGGCCAGGCTGGTCTCGAACTCCTGACCTCAGGAGATCCACCTGCCTCGTCCTCCCAAAGTGCTGGGATTACAGGATTGAGCCACCGCGCCCGGCCTCAGATTGCATTTCTAATGGACAACAGCAAATCTCTGTTTACAGCTTTTCCTTAACAACAGATGACCTCTCTTCTGCAAGTGGGAATAATAAAGTTTAAATTGCAACATCTGCCTTTCTGCAAATGCTGTGAGAGCAATAGCAGACTTTTTACATTAGTGGAACTTAGTCAGTGTGAACTTTTATGAACGTTTATGATATTCTAGGCCATAAAGCAAATTGCAAAAAATTGGTGACATACATATCCTATTAACCATAGTTAATGACAAATGGATAACTGTGTGTGTGTGTGTGTGTGTGTGTGTGTGTGTGTGTGTGTGTTAGAGACAGGGTCTTTCTCTGTCACCCAGGCTGGAGTGCAGTGGCACAATCACAGCTCACTGCAGCCTTGAGCCTTTGGGTTCAAGCGATCCTCCTACCTCAGCTTCCCGCGTAGCTGGGATGACAGGCACATGCCACCATGCCCAGCTCAATTTTTTGTTTTGTATTTTTTGTAGAGATGGGGGTCTTACTATGTTGCCCAGGCTGGTCTTGAACTCCTGGGCTCAAGTGATCCTCTCACCTTGGCATCTCAAAGTGCTGGGATTACAGGAATGAGCCACCATACCCAACTGGATAACTCATGTTAAGAGGAGACAAGGGCTGGGCGCGGTGGCTCAAGCCTGTAATCCCAGCACTTTGGGAGGCCGAGACGGGCGGATTACGAGGTCAGGAGATCGAGACCATCCTGGCTGACCCGATGAAACCCCGTCTCTACTAAAAAATACAAAAAACTAGCCGGGCGAGGTGGCGGGTGCCTGTAGTCCCAGCTACTCTGGAGGCTGAGGCAGGAGAATGGCGTGAACCCGGGAGGCGGAGCTTGCAGTGAGCTGAGATTGTGCCACTGCACTCCAGTCTGGGCGACAGAGCGAGACTCCGTCTCAAAAAAAAAAAAAAAAAAAAAAAAAAAGAAATGCAATCTGAGGCCAGGCATAGTGGCTCATGCCTGTAATTGCAGCACTTTGGGAGGCCGAGGTGGGGGGATCACCTGAGGTCGGGAGTTTGAGACCAGCCTGACCAACATGGTGAAACCCCATCTCTACTAAAAATACAAAAATT